GGTATTAGGACTGAAATAAATGTTGGACTTCTCATAATTAACCTTCTGTCCTGAAGCCTTCTCATATTGAGCTAGGATACTCTTTACTTTTCACACTTTCGCAGCTGAATTTTTACAAACAACAGGCTATCATCTGCATACAACAAATGTGAAATCCTTGGCCCTCTCATGCTTGCTCTAATACCCTTAATCTCGTTCCTCCTTTGAGCCTTAAAGAGTAAGGCAGACAGACAAAACAGAAACAAATATGGAGATAAGGGATCTCCTTGTCGGAAACCCCTCTGAGGAATGAAAGAATCAGATAACACGCCATTAATACACACTTGAAAAGAGACCGTGGAAATACACTTTCGAATAAGATTGACAAATGAACTACAAAAACCCATCCGAATCATAACATCCAACAAAAAACCCATTCCACTCTATCATACGTTTTTTCCATATCTAACTTAATAGCAGTGCCCTTATTAGGACCATTTTTAGACCCTTTAAGATAATGGATAAGTTCATGAGCCACAAGAAATTTGTCAGATATACGACGACCAGGGACAAAAACGCATTGGTTCTCGGCAACACCAGCATGCATCAATGGTTTAAGATGGTTTACTATAGCTTTTGACATAACTTTGTAGATGACCAAACATAACCTAATCGGTCTAAATTGCTTCATTAATTTCGGACTAGTAACCTTAGGGATAAGAACAATAATAGTACGATTAACATAATTAAAATCCATCGTACCATTCAAAAGGCTAAGACAAAGATTAAAAAAATCACATCTAACAATATTCCAAAAGGAACAGAAAAATTGACCTGGAAGGCCATCAAACCCAGGAGCTTTCGAGGGATTAACTTGGGAAAAAGCAATGGTGACTTCATCGACAGCAAAGTCTCGGCAAAGTATCTCGTTATCACATAGCGAGACACATAGATCAATGGCTTGAAGGATCTCCTCATCGGGAGTCGCTTCGGAAGAACGAAAGAGAGAAGAAAAGTAGCTCATAGCAACACCAAAAATGTCCTCCAACCTGTCACACCAAACCCCTCCCTCACTTTCCAACCCCCCGATCCAATTCTTTTTGCGACGCCCATTGGCTCTTGCATGAAAAAAGGAAGAATTACGATCACCATCCTTAAGCCACGCCACTCGGGATCTTTGAAGCCAAAACATCTCATCTTTATCCATAACGTCCTTAAGATCCGCCAGAGCTTTCCTCCGAAGTTCACAAAACTCGTCCGTAATCGGGCCAGAACCAAGCCTAAGAATAGAACCCCTTAAACGCTTCTCATCCCTCTTGGCTTGACTTCTTCTCGATCTCTGCCAATCTCCTAGCATAAACCCTATCTTCCCCACTTTAACTGAGAAAGAGTCTTCATTGTTCTCCCAAACCCGATGTACAATATCCCAACATTGATCTTCATTAGCCCAACACGCATCAAATTTGAAATAATCCCTCCTAGGCGAACTGTTCGTAATAGCACCCTCCAAGCTCAACAAGATTGCAGAATGATCGGACGACGCCATCGGAACCGTATCCATATAACGCTTTGGGAACAGAAGTCTCCATTCAATCTTCGCAACAAATCTATCGATTATCTCGTACACAAACATCTTAGCGCGGGTACCACTAGCCCAAGAAAACCAACCACTCCTAGGTCTAATGTCCTATACATTGGCATCACAAAGACATCGCTGGAACTCCTCCATATGAACCCTCACCGGTTTTCGCCCTCCTCTCTTCTTGTCCGCATGAATAATTTCATTAAAGTCTCCTCCCAAGCACCAAGGAAAAGAAGAGGTAGAGGCCAAATGAGAAATCATCTCCTAGTTGTGCTTTTTATCCGACCACCCACTGCGCCCATAAAACCCCGTAAACCAGAATTTTTGCTCCTTCCAAAAATCCTCCACATCAATATGTAGATTAGAGAAGCTCTGGAGCGAGACATCTAAACCCTCCTTCCAAAGCATCATTAATCCCACACAATGATCCGATCTTTCCACTGAAAAATAACTAAACATCTTTGTAGCCAATCTAATAGCCTCCGTTTTATTTTTCCGCAACTTAGTTTCAGAAAAAAAAACCAACATCGGGTCTTTTTCGGAGATCAGTCTCCTAAGCTCTCGAACTGTCGCGAGGTTCCCAAGCCCCCGACAGTTCCATCACAGTATCGTCATGGCCCCTGGCGGGGCTGAACCTCAGCCACCGCCGTTAAAAGAACATTCCCTACACATTCCTCTAGTATCTCACTAGGGTCCTCCTCCTCACTAGTACCCACCTTTGAGTTCAAAGTGGAGTCGGAAATATGCACCACTTGTCGATTCACTCGCTTAACTTTTCTCTTTCCCTTACTCGTCTCCCCAATCTTCCTCTTCCCCGAACTGGAAGAACCAAACTCAACCCTCACGCTCAATTCCCAGTTCGGCTGTTGCTCTTCTATCAAAACTCGGTCACGCACAATGAAAACTTCCGGGAACGTCCGAGGAAGGAAGCTATCAGGCCCGGTTAGATCAGTCGGGTCAGAATCGTCCTCGTGATTCGAGCTAGACGAGTGCAACAAATCACGTCCTGGCATCCACGGTCTTCCCCGATGAGTCCTAGTTTCTCTTTTCAAAAAAGGGTTATTCGCCGAACTAGTCATTGACCTTCCATTGTTCTCCCCCTCAACGTATATAATCTCTTCTTTCCTTCTGGTGCTACTTTCTTCGGGTCTCTTGATAGGTGACACTCTTAGCCATTCCCCGAATTGGACTGGCTACTGCAGTTGGTCCAAGAAGCCCGGACATTCCGTAAGGACATGACCAATAATTCCGCACCAACGACAAAACGAAGGCAACCATTCATACTTTAGTAGACACTTCCTTAGTTCACCATTCGCATACACTCCCATCTTAGCACATCTTCGCAACAGTTTGGTACAATCAATCTCCACTCTAACTCGAAGGTAATCGCCCATTCTTCCATCTCCAGGTCTTGTGTCAGTAGCAATAGTCTTCCCAATTCTATTGCCTATCTTTTCTGCAGTTTCAATTTTCATATACCCCAAAAGGAGCTCGTAGATTCTCACCCACACTCCAAGGGGCCGAAAATCAAACTCTTCGAGACTCAAAGTAAGATTAAAGTGAGAAATAGCCAAAAACATTCCTTCGAAACTCCATGGAGTGCGTTTCATAATAGCTTGCTTATCCGAGAGCGTCTTGAACTTGAAAAGGAACATATTGTCCTTCAAGATGCTAGATTCCAAGAGTCTAGCATGACCCCAAATAGAACGAAAGACCCACAACACCACTTCGCTATCAATTCTCTTGTAACCAATAATCCTCACAACGATCCACTTATCCATTTCCATAACATCATCTTCAGTAATAACTCTTGGTGGAGATATGTCCTCAGACTCCTCCTCAGTGAATTTCAAGTGCTTCATTAAATCCGCAACCTCCTCTGACATTTCACTAGTAAAATGAACAATCGAAAAGGGAAGCCAAATGTCACTCTTACACCCTCTATTGGAAGCCAATATTTCGATGGAATTACTTTAAAAAACAAAGAAGAAGGTAGCAATCTTTCTATTGATAGTATAAAAGGTACATACAACCTTTTCTCCCCTCAATCTCTTATCCCAATTTCGTAACACACCCTTCCCAACTTGACAAAAATCACTCCGATTTGACTTTCTCCTCTTACACTCTTTGCCTACTCCAAATAGGCTTTTAAAATATCTCTCCATTATAATACTCAAATAAATTCTATATGAGTGAACCATTTCCCCATAAACAACTAATCGCCCATAATTTTTCTAGCAAGTAAATCTGTCCGTACAGTGATCGCAGCAGACCGTACTGTAGCCGCCGTAATCTACAAACTGCTCTGCCAGACTTGACCTTGAACTCCCATCCCCTGCGAGAACCCTGCCACTCCCACCTAATGTCTGCACCGAGTAGTATATAGAGTATACTAGTCCCCTGCCGATCCCATCTACTGCCTGCACCGAGCAGTATACTGAGTGGCCCAGCCCCATGCCGCATTGGAAATAGCCTTCCTGTTGAACAATCTGCTTCCATCGTAGTAAATAAAAAATTTTATTTTTCCCACGACAAGACCTCATGTCATACTTAAATCTTCTTAGATATTTTCATATATTGAACTTCCAATAAAATCCTCGAATCCAATCTAAAATCAAAAAATTGATAGGCTCTTGACTTGACACTTCAATCACAAATTTCCAACTTTTCCTTGACTGATAATTCCATCTATAGCAACTTGTCTTAAACACTAACCAAAACACACTTTCTTCCTTACCATCATGCTGAACTTTACCAAACCAACCCCTAAATTGATTGAAATCTCGTACTATAGTTGTTACAACTGTGTACCCTCCTTTAATCTCTCCAACAACTCTCCTTCTCCTTTTGGAAACCCTACTCCGGTCACCTTCTTCTAACCCCTTATCTGAACTTTCTACAATTTTCAGCTTGGAACTCTCCCCAAAATCTTTGTTTATTGACAGTTTTCCCATAGCTCTCATACTCCACACCCCTTCCTACACCTTCTTCCACCCTTCCTCTCTTTCTTTAAAGAACACCTTCCCACTCAACCAAAATTGAGTGTTCACAAAAGCAACATTCCCTCTCTCTTCATCATTCCGTCGCTAACATCCCTTAAGAAGATCCTGCAAAACATAAATCACGAGTAATAAACTACAATGATAACAAGGGTAGCTTTTACCTTCAACTTCCTCCGCTAAAAAAGGAACACCGAGAACGACTCTTAACCTTATAACAATTATCAAATCCTAACAATCGACGAACTTGACATAAAAACGATCGGACTTTAAGAGAACTTAACCGTTTTGAGCTCCAAAAATGGAACTCGACAACCAGGGATCCATGAGAAACCATGGAAGAAACCGTTGAGACCGACCAATGAACCATCTCGAAGAAGAAACCTAGAGAGAAGGGAGAGCAAATTCTCTCACTAACTCGCTCATTCTACAACATTTCTTCCCTTGCATTTTACATTGTTCTAGTCAGGGACGTCTTGTAAATTTAGGTGGCCCTATGCCATAACAGTAAAATAGGCCTTTTAAAACTAAAATATTATAAAGTTCACTAATATTTCAAAATTTATTACAACTATAAGAAAACGTTAAATAGTGGTAAAAAATATCTTCATGTAATAAAGTGAAATACAAAGTAAGCTATTCTCTAAATAATGTGGGTCTTGGACTTGAAATTTTTTTGGTCAAACATCTTAAATACACATATATACAAAAGACTTAGAAAATTTTGGAGTCCCTTATAAAAAATTGGGCCCTGTACGGGCTGCCCCAAAACCGGCCCTGGTTCTAGTTTCCCCAAAACAACTCACAATGAAGCAACAATATGTATTCACCACCACTCTCTCATTTCTCATACTTTTCGTCCTCCATTGTTCAACTACCTTGGCCCAAGGTCCGGCAGCAGCTCCGGTGGCACCAACACCAGCACCTCCCAGTCCAACGAACGTCACCAAAATTCTCAAAAAAGTCGGCCAATTCACCCTCTTCATTCGTCTTCTAAAAACTACACAAGTAGCCAACCAGCTGCTGGGTCAGCTCAACAACTCAAACAATGGGATAACCATTTTTGCACCGACGGACAATGCGTTCTCGAGCCTTAAATCCGTCACGTTGAATTCGCTCAACGACGAACAAAAAGTCGAGCTGGTGCAATTCCACATCGTCCCAACATACCTCTCGTCGTCTCAGTTCCAAACTATTAGTAACCCTTTGAGAACTCAAGCCGGTGACAGCGACGACGGGAAGTTCCCTCTCAATATCACCACGTCGGGAAACTCCGTGAACATAACAAGCGGATTGACAAATACAAGTGTTTCTGGTACTGTTTATACAGACGGTCAGCTTGCAGTTTATCAAATCGATCAGGTGCTTCAACCTATGCAAATATTTGCTCCTAGGCCACCGGCTCCAGCACCGGCGCCGGCGAAGTCGAATAAGAAGAAGGCTGCCGTTGTTTCCGAAAGCCCTGATGAAACACCGGCTGCTGATAACTCCAAAGCGGCCACCACCATGCAAAATGTAGCCTTGTTTGGTGTTGCTACTGTAGTTGCTGCACTTTTTTTGTAACCATGAAAATGGAGAAACGAAGAAAACAGTGATTTTGATGGTTTAGATTAATATTCAATGGCGGAGATTCAATAATTATCATTATGAAATTGAATTTTGATATGTTTTATGGTTCTTTGGTGTTGTGTTGATTTCATTTCTTTTTGTTTTGAAATCTCATTGCAATACTTTTTTTCATATGCTTGTAAATTTTGTGGCGATTTTTATTGTTATTATTATTATTATTTTTAAAGATTGTATATCATTATATCGTTTGGTCTGCTACTTTTCCAATTTTCCTAATATTTTTGGGATGAACATTTCTCACTAACATATTTGGATACAATAATAGCACGAAATAAACAACTTCAATTGGTTAAGAAATTATTATTATTATTTGATGTCTCGAGTTCGTGCACCATATATGTTAAGATTAAATGCGTTTAATAACAAATGTTGAAAATTTTTGAATAGATATTATTTTATACTTATATCAGATTAGTAAAAAAAAATATTTGGGGTACAAGAATAGTATAAACCAAGTGACTTTAGTGGTTAAGAAATTGTTATTTTTTTTTTTTAGGTCTTAAGTTCGAGCACCATGTATGCTAGGACTGCAAAGGCGAAACATAAGCTAGACTAGAGGGGCTATAATTTTAGAATCCAAATTAAATTTTAAATTTTTTAATGTTCTTAATTAAATCCCTCCCATCATTTTTAAAAATTCTCTTTAAGTCTTTTAAAATTTCAAAAATTGTAGTTAGACCCTTATTTTGTGGAAAAATATAAACCCTTCAAAAAATTTAAAAATCTTAATTTAAACCTCTAATTTTTTTAAAATTTTAAGTTATTCCCAAACTCTATCACCAAGTTTCTCTATTGGCTAGGAGTGCGTGCGTTTAATGTCAAACGATTGAAAATTTTTGAATAGAAATTATCTTATAATCAAAAAAATATTTAAGTAAAAAATAAATTTGGAAAACACTAATATTAAAATTAGAAAAAGATTAAATACTTGTGTTCTAATGTATAGTTCACTAATAAAAGCATGTATTTCGCATTTAAAAATCAAAACATTAAATTGGAATTTATTTTATCAAATCAAATTAGGAAAAATAAAAAAAAAATCATATCTGAAGAATATTTGTTGTCGGATAGCCCTTTTAATTATATGGAAGACAAGCATCAAGATCCGATGGCCTACCAATTTTCCTAAACGATCCAATGCTCTCAATTATTCAAATTTTGTTTTGTGAGCCCATTTAAACTCAAATATAAATTGAAAATTTTGGTTTTTTATATGAAATTATAAAATTGTTTTCTTTATTTATATTGGGTGTACAATTATATTAGATATAAAAATAAATCTAAATTAAAAATTAAATTACATTTTTATATATTTATATTGAATATAACATCATTTCACTTTTAAATTTGTAAGGGTTATTTATATTTAGATGTGATGTTAATATTTAAAAGGTTTATTTCAATAATAAATATATATAATATATCATATTTTTCATTCGGGTACTTACATATTTTTTGTTAAAGTAAATACTTATTTTATATTATCTTTTTTATTTAGCTATTTAAAATATTTTTTTAATCTATGCATATATCAACTTTAATCTTTAGGTATCTAGATGAAAAATATATTATACATTAAGTAAGGGCGAAGTTAGAAATTTTAATAATATTTATATGTAAATTTATTTAAAATTAAAGGGTCAATTTCTTTTTTAAAGATGTCAAAATCTTTCTAAAAGTGATGGCATTTATTTTTGTTTATACTATATATATATATGGATGATGCGATCACGCTCGACGAGCACGAATGAGCACCGTTAATGATGAGTACCATTAAATTAATTTATAAAACATTAAATTATAAAGTACTAAACGAATAATTATAAATTAGTTAAAAAATATAAATGTAATTCAATTAAAATAAAATATTTTATAAAACATTAGTTTTTATAATCTTATTTTAATTATAGTCATATAACATATTAATTTGGAAAGTTTATAAACCCTAATTTATTTTCTTAGTTTTGTAACTCCCGCCACCGCCGCTAGTATCATTTTTCATCATCGGCGAATGATAAAGACTAAATCGACAACGAAAGATGATATCGAAAGCGAAGGTGGCAAGTGACGACGTAGCGGCGACGGTGGCTTCAAAGCTATGAAAATAAATTAGGGTTTATAAATTTTCCAAATTAATATTTGATCTAATTATAATTAAAATAAAATTTTAAAAACTAATGTTTTATAAATATTGTATTTTAATTAAATTATATTTAGATTTTTAATTAATTTATAATTATACGTTTAGTATTTTATAATTTTAATATTTTATAAATTAATTTAATAGTGCTCATCATTAACCGTGTTCATCTATGCTCCACAAGCGTTGTAGAATATATATATATATATAAGGAACTTTTTTCTTTTAAAAATTTGACACTTCTTATTTTATACTAGTTTCGCCAATGATATTGAGTACCTACTTTAACACAAATATTTTCAAAAAATGCTACAACGCTCGTCGAATGTGTATGGGCACCGTTAATAATGTGCACCATTAAATCAATTTATAAAATGTTAAATTATAAAGTATTATACATATAATTATAAATTAGTTAAAAATTTAAATATAATTTAATTAAAATATAATATTTATAAAACATTATTGTTTAGGGTAAACTATACTATTGACCACATAGCTATTTACCCATTTTACTTTAACCACTGATTTTTCAATTTTATTAATCGGGTCACCTAGCTATTTAAATCTGGTCAATCAAGCCACCTGTCGTTAAAAATTAACGAAGGATATGATGTGGCAGTTCATAAAATTTATATAATTACACATTTAGTTCTCATTACTTACACATTCTATTAATTTGGTCCTAACTTTTAATTAATTCAATAAATTTAATCCTTAATCAGACGGTGACATGTGTCATTATCTGATTGGATTTTTTCTTAATATTTTTATTTAATTTAATAAATTTTTTATCCAATAAAATGGTGACATGTATCACCAATTGAATGAATAGAAAATAAATTGAATCAATAACGACTATTGGTGGGGTTTGAACCCAAGACGTGAAAAGAGAAAGTAAACACCCCAACCAATGAGTTGCACCATTCAAATGACAAACCTATTATGGCATAATATATATATATATATATATATATAATGGCAATAAAAAAAGGAAAAATGACATAATAAGAACTTCAAAATGGAATAATTGAATAATATGATAATATGATATATATATATATACACACAAATATTATAACTAATTAATGTGTGAATGTATTTTATTTATATTTTAAATCATTTTAATGAAAAATAAAAATAATTTTAATATATTATAACTGAAATATAACGAAGAGCTTCGTTGACTTAGAATTTTCCTGATAGTTGAAGGCTTTACGTAGTAAGCATTTTAACTTGTGTATTGACATGTTTATATCAGGGATAGAGTAAGAATTTTATATTTTATTATTTATTCATTATATATTTGAAGAAAATTTTAGGAGAAACATGATTTTATTTAATTAGTTTATTTTAATATAGAGTTGTTAAACAAGATTAGAATTCGATTGACGTTATAATATTTTAAAATATAAGATATGATACATTTCAGTTCAATAAAATTAAAATAATGAAGACAATTTATTAATTTAAAATATGTGAAATGATAAATTTCAATTATAACATATAAATTCACTTTTATTTTAATTTTTGCATTAAATGTGATTTAAAATATAAATAAAACATATTCATTTATTAATCAATTATAATATTTGTTTATATATTTTTTATATTTTCATACTATTCAATTGTTTCATGTTTGAATTCTTATAAGGTTATTTATTACTATTAATTATATTATAAATTATATATATTATGTTTTGTATACTAAACAAATTTAGTGGTTTAGTTTAGTGGTTAGAGTGCTTAGTTTTTCGGCTTGCGTCTCAGGTTCAAACCCTACTAGCAAACGGTTATTGATTTAATTTATTTTTCATTTATTCAATTGGTGACATGTGACACCATTTGATTGGATGAAAATTTTATTAAATAAAAATATTAAAAAACATCCAATCACACAAAAAACATGTCACCATCGGATTGAGGATTAAATTTATTGAATTAAATAAATGTTAGGACCAAATTAATAGAATGTGTAAATAATGAAGACTAAATGTGTAATTATATAAATTTTTATTAACTGCTAAGTTATCTACTCGGTTAATATTTAACGGTAGGTAGCTTGATTGGTAATATGTTTTATATGTCAACTTAATAATGTTCATCATTAACGGTGTTCATTCGTGCTCATCGAACGTGACATCATCATCAATATTTTAAATATTAAGATGAAAAATTTATATTCTACGTATCTGCTTTGGTCACAGATACTTTATATATTTTTAATGATAAAATATTATTTGGATGTATGTCTGATTTGAGTACTTTTTTACATTTTTCGAGTTTTTTTTTTATATTTATAACATTGTACCCTTGTAATCATGTTTGAATATGTATTTGATGGAAAAAAATGAAAGAGTCCAAACACTTACACTGGTTGATTTACCACTTGCATTATTAACACATTCAAACTCGCATTAAATTTTGTAATTGAATGATTGGGGTTAAATCATTCACATGCACCTTGTTGCCATTATTATAATTAATCCGATTTAGTTTGTGTTGATTGTAAATTGATACTACTAATTAAAAAAAAAAAGATGTCGACAGGTGTCATTACACCATAAAAAGAAGGTATAATGTGAAAAATGCTCTAAACAAAATAAAGATCAAGATAATTATTTAATTAAATATTAAGGTGTATTGAAACGTTAAAATTAAAATACTCTAAAAATAAAATAATTATTTAATTAAATATTAAAATTATTTTTTATGTCATACCTAAAAAAATATCATCTTTCTCTAGAAATATTTTAGAGTACCTAAAATTGTATAAATTAGGAAATAGTTTAGATATTGCTTTGTTTTTTTTTTCATATTA